CACCGAGGCTCCAAGAGGCCACGAACGCGCAAGCAAACGCCTGCGATGGCACAATACGGGCCGGCGGAATGAGCGAAGCGATTAAATATTCATCCTCATCGTCGTCCCCATCATCACCATCACCAAATTCATCTCCAGCATCATCACAACCAGCTTCACTTACATCTTCCTGATCATCATCATCTTCATACGCAGCATGACCATCATCATCATCTTCATGATCAGCATCCTCGCATTATTCGTCAGCATACGCAGTATCATCTTCATTTCCATCGTCATCGTCCTCATCATCATGCTCATCAACGTGATCATCCACACCATCATTTTCATTTGAATTTCCATTACCTTCCTCATGCCAAACTTCATCATCGTCCTTTTAATCATCAGCATCATCGGTATCATTTTTATTTTCATCGTCACCACCATCATCCACAAAATCAACACGATAATGATTACCTTCATACTCATCGTTCCTACCTCTCCCGTCAAGATCCGCATCATTATCACCATCTTCATCATAATCATCATCATGAGCACCATCAGCATTAGCATCATCAGCATCAACATCACCCCGTTCATCATCATCATCCGCATCTCCGTCATCATCAACTTCACTTTCGTCGTGATCATCCTCTTCACCATAATCTTCATCATCATCATCACCAACAACATCATCATCAGCCTCATCAGCAGAGTCATGATCACAATCACCATGCTCATCATTATTATTATCATCACCACCCCCCATCATCGTTCTCATCTGCATCTGCATCATCATCGCCTCCACTCTTCATTAACAACATCAGCATCAGCATCATGACCATATTCATCGTAATAACCATGATCGGCACCTTCAACATCTTCAGCATCATGACATCCATCCTCATCAGAACCTTCACCAACGAAAGCATCACCAGCATAATCATCATCTTCATCCGTACCATCATATAAGCATCATCAACACCAGCATCCTCTTCTCCATCTTCATCATCTTCATTTTCACTTGCACCCTCACCATCACCATCATCGTTATCAGGATCAGCATGATGCATCAACCTCTTCATCTTCATCATCAATTTCATCATCATCAACATCTTAATCATCAGCTTCATCATCATCATCACCAGCATCACCTTCACCGGCAACATCAGCATCATCGTCACTATCTTCATTACCATCTGCGTCGTCATCACCACCTTCTGAAGTTTCATCTTCACCACTAACAGCAACATCACCATTATCGCCAGCATCACCATAATCTTCATTGCCATCATCGTCAACAGCGTCATCATCATCAGCATCCTTATCGTGAGCGGCGTCATCATCAGCATCATCAGCATCATCAGCACCATCCACATCAAAATCACCATACTGCCTTCACCCTCATCATCACCATCATCAACACCATCATCTACATCACCAGCATCTTCATCAGCATCATGTACACCTACATACTCATCATCTGCATCATCAGAATCATCAGCATCATCAGCATCATCAACACCACCATGACCTACCTGATACCAACCATCATAGTCGTCATCATCGTCGTCTTGATCTTCACCGGCATCGTCATCGTCATCAACATCTTCATCATCATCCTCGTCTTCACCAAAAAAATTATCGGCATCATCACCATCATCAAAATCAGAATCCCCATCGTCATCTTGATTAATCATCATCAGCGCCAACAGCATCATCGTCATCGACACCATCATCATACCCACCATCATCTGCATCATCATCATAAACATAAACATCACCATCCACATCATCATCCTCATCGGGATCACCATTACAATCATAAGCATCGTCCTGGAAACCATCATCATCTGCAGCACCGTCATCAACATCTTCAGCATGATAATCATCATCAACATTCGCAACACCAGCATCCTCACGATCCTAGTCGTCATCAGTAACACTGTCATCAGCATCATCAGCATCCTTTTCATCTTCAACATCATCAGCACCATCAGCTTCACCATCATACGCATCAGCATCGCCATACTCAGCATCATCAGAAGCATCGTAATCATCACCCCCACCATCATCAACAACACCATTAACATAAGCAACATCAGCATCGCAAGCATCATCAACATCCTCAGCATCATCATCATCACCATCATCAGCACCATCAACATCCTCAGCATCATCATCGACATCCTCAGCATCAGCATCTGCAGCATCGTCATCATCACCATCATCCTCATCATCATCTTCGTCTTCATCATCAGCATCATCATCATCATCAGGAACATCATTATCATCAGCATCGGCATCATATTCATCACCATCATCACGAACAGCATCATCATCAGCACCATCAGCAGGGCCATCATCATCAGCAGTGTCTTCATATTCATCTTCACTACCAGTATCATCATCAGCTTTATTGGTGCCAGCATCATCATCAATAATCTCGTCGCCATGAGCACCATCATCATGGTCATCTTCAGCATCAACAGTACCATCAGTCACATCATCATGATCATCA